TCAGGAGATTGAGGCAGAAGGATCACCATGAGTTCCACACTTGCCCAGATGACATAATGAGCTCAAGGCCAACCTGAACTACATAGGGAGGCCTGTCACAAGAAATAAACAAATAAAACAAGCAATTGCTTCCACTAACTGACTCCTGCTAGGCCAGAATTAAAGGTAACTAAGCCGCAGGTCACACAATAATTCAAGGCCCACTTTATTGGCTTAGTGGGTTAGTTAGAACACCTAGAATTATTTCTAAATACCAAGGGCACAGTTCTCATGCTGCCAGCTGTGACCTTATCTGCTCCTGTACCTAGTAACTGAACCTTCAGTACCTAAATAGTAACAGCAGCTGGTGTTACTGAATATAGAGACAGTAAGCTCAACCTGGACCTCTGAACCTATGAATGTGTCAGTCCTAACTCTTGTTACATAAATGAAAACTCCACCTGTAAAACCTATCTAACACTTTATCCAACTCCGTGTGGGTTAATCAATTATATATGAAGGGCCCTGGGCTTCACTTTCAGGTTTTATGAATGACTTTATTGGAATTCATAGCAGTTTCCAAATCATTTAACTCCTACAAAGTACCCAAACTGCCTTCAATTATTATACATTTTTGTATCTCATCCTAGTTGTGGAAAGGATATTTCATGAAAGAAAATTTGTATTCTGTGCAGAAGAGTCTGACAAATTTTCAAACAACAAATAGATAATCAAAAACTTTCATGTTTCTAGACATGTACTTATACAGGTAACCCAATTAATTTTTATTCCCAATTAATTGTCTCTTCTGTATTTTAGGGAAGGGTTTACAGGGTGTTCAGGGTCTCAATGCTAGATCAGAATTGTAGTGATTCTCCTGTCTACAGCTTCCCAAGTGCTAGGATTACAGGCGCGCATCACCACACCCAGTCTCAATCGCTGTCTCAGCATGCCCCGGGAGCGGGGCTGGCATAGGAGGCCTGGGGATCGAACCCCTGGCCCCTGCGCCTGTTTGCAGGTGCTTTAATCCTCTGAGCTATTTGGCTGGCCCTTCCCAATTAATTTTTATGCCACTTAGAATATCATAAGTTTTAACCTCAACAATGTTCAATCTGAAAAGAGGAATTTCAAATGATGATTGTCTGGCACTTAACTCAAGATACACACACACTCACCAAAAAGAACACAAAAGATTTTCTCAAACAAGAATTTTCATCTATAAAACCCTGCTGGCTATGTCAGCTTGCCTGAGTCCTTCAGTTATGTTATTTAGGAAAAAATAAGAGTTTTCATTTCTTAGGGGCTTTTAACCATTTTAGAATAAATCACCCCAATCACTCATTAGCCTACAGTGAAAGAATTCCCTGCTGCTGTGTTCTTTATAGTGGTGCCCTTATCAAAGGCATGCAGTTTTAAGAAATTTTACCTTTGTTAGTGACAAGAGACTATTATTCACAGAACAAATATTTATTAAGCATGTACTATGTGTCAATACACAAATCATTTTAAGAATCCAGTAGTAAGATAGACTAAGTCCCTGATCTTGGAGACTTAACTCTTTAGTTTTATTTTATGTTATTTTTTATGCATTTAGTACAGGGTCTACAGGGTCTCACTACACAGATCAGACTCTTAGTGATCCTCCTGTTTTCAGCCTCCTAAGCACTGGGATAACAGGCTCTAGTTTTATAAAGATATTTGTTTTTGCTCCTTCTAGGTAAATTGTCAAGATTTCCTTAAGAGGGGCATGACATCATCTTCAAAATGCACTGTGACAAGTGGGACAGACTGAAAATCTTCTACTGCAAGCACAGAGTTCCTCTCTGATTGGCCCTGGGATGTAGCTCAACAGCACCAACCCTGCCTGGCTCCTGATGGAACACAAGAGCACTAAGGCCAACAGGGGGGCTGACAGAAAACCTGAAAGCTTACTTTGCATCAAAAAAAAAAAAGGACTTCATACAGGTAGGAGACCTAATTTTAAATGTTGAATGAAGAAAACACTAAAAATCTAGTAACACTTAGATGCTGGAGTTGTGCCATGGAGTCAGATGGTGCTGTAGTATGGCTTTTATTCACTGGACTCAACTAACCCACTGAGCAGATGGTGCTCCCTGCCCAGACAGTGAACACAGACATGCACACAACAAGGCATGCATGTGAGAATCAGGTGAGTGCTACACCAGAGTAAGGACAGTAGGAAGGTGCTTGAAGGAGCTGTCTAAATTCCTGATTGGTGTCTGAATGAGTTTCTGAAAGGAGTGTCGGGAAGGAGTTTCCTCAGTCTTAAACTGAACATTAAAATTGCTACTACAATTTTCCTTTCAGAAACTGTGGTTTATCCACACTACAAAATGCCTACACTATAGAATACCATGGAGCCATTACAAATAGAGAAGTAGATCTAGTATTTATTTATTTACTTTTTAAAATTTTTATTCTTTTGATACAGGGTTCCCTATACAGTTCAGACTCATAAGGATGCCCCTGTCTCAGCCTCCCCAGGTCTGGGATTACAGGCATGCCCCACCGTAGCTGGTTTCATGGCCTGCCAGGGGTTTTGGGCTGGCACAGGATGCAGTACCAGGGATTGAACTCAGGTCCTTGTGCTTGCCAGGCAGTGGCTTTGACCACTGAGCTATCTTCCCAGCCCTAGATCTATGGAAAGAGTTCCAGTATATACTGTTCAAAGAAAAAGAAAAAAAGGAGATACATATAGTATGATATTCTTCATGGGTTGGTTTTTAGCCTCAGAAAGCAATATTTCACTTCCAAATTCATTTTAAAAATAAAAAATGTCCAGAAAGATACAAATAGCATGAGCTAATACATTGCTGAGCACATGGCAAAAGAACAAGATGGGAAATTTCACATTATATATAATGCTATTAATGGGGAGGAGTCTATTCATGTTAATCATGTCATTAAAATTTGATTTAAATGAATCAAAGTAGCATATTAAGATCAAAAATCTAACTGAACAATCAATGTCTCACTATAATTTAACATGAAAATATGTAATAAAATTTAATTGTAAGCTATATTAAAATTGTGTCAAATCCTTTACAGTATATATTATTTTTCCTTCAGAATCTGACTAATGCTTATTAATCTAAAAAGAAAATGGGGTTAAAAAATAGATAAGTGAAACATTTACAGTTTTTATCATCTTGTGTACAATATTACAAACCATGGAAAATTCTAACCTTGAGGCTAAATAGAAACAATAAAACCTCAATACTTAAATATAAAATGGAGAAAAGAAGTCTTGTCTAGAAAATTTAGAAAGCATTAAATTAAGCTCTACTACTGACTCCTAATACCCTGCACCACTGTGTCTATGTAATGATACAACATTAAGTACAAGACTGAGTGCATCCTCAGCTCCAAGAATGGCAGGCACAGCATGAGGTTGAAGAACTAAACCAGATGAACAAATAATCAAAGACATTCTAACAAAGAGGAGGAAAAAGGAAGAAATGGCCAAACAAACCAAAACAAAAAATGTGCAAAAATAGGGAAAAGTGTTGTAGAATAGAAAGGACATTAGTGCCTCCTGACTTAGGGTTATAATTGAAAATCTGCACTTGTAGAACAATTTACACAGCATTTATTTCCATATATATTATGGAATATAATCTTTATAACACATGGTACTACCCCCTTTTTACAAAAAGAAATGGAACTTCTAAGAGGGTAAAGATATTGCCAAAATTCAAATAGCTAATAAGTAACAGAACTGAGATCTTTTAACTTCCCAGTCCATTTTCTCTCCAGTATTCTATGACTACCATACACTGTTTCTCAAATTGCCACTAATTTTCAGAAATGTAAAACTTTCAAGAAGTACATATATATAATATCTATTGATAAAATAGAGTAAGCTATTTTACTTTCCCTATATCAGTAATGGCAAACACATGGCACACATGTTTTTTTTTTCTTTTAAGATAGAAGATATTAATGTATGAGTTGCTTTTTCTAAACTAAAATCTCAGTATTCTGGTTTAATTGGACGGTGGGCACTCTGATAACTAACTGGGTTATAGGGTGTAGTTTGGGCACTCACCTGTAAAAGACTTCACTACCTTAGGAAAACTCTGAGAAAAAATCCTGATTTCTTCTAAAATCCACAGAACAGAGGAGGAAAGAGAAGAGGAAGGGAAGGTGATGGGATTATGTGGGAGAGCACCATGGAGCTTCCACACCTGGAATGGAGGATGCATTGCACAGAGGAACCCAAACACAAAAGCCTGGATAAAATTTAACACAGACATTCACGCAAATAAGTACAAGTAAATCTAACAAGATCTGTGGGCTTCGAATGTACCACTTGCCAGATTATAATAAAGTCTGCAAATGTTACCATTGGAGGAAAAGGGGTAAAGGATACACAGCCAGTTTCTATGTTACTTGTTACAGGAACATCCACTTACCATAATAAAAAAACAATTTTTTAAAAAAATTAAAACTCCATGGCAACAATACTAACTTTAAAACAAGAGAGTGATATTATGCACAAAGAAATACAAGAAGATACAATCTATCAAAGTCTTTATTATAGTCATGTGAAAATTTCACTGTAAGAGAACGGAGGCCTTACTCATGCTATTAAAATTTTTTAAATTCCTTTCCAAGCCACGAATGATACTTTTGAATATGTTTGGGAGTATAAATGACTTAAGAATGAAAGCCATTTCCCCATAGTCAGATAAATGATAAACCACGGGTGGAAAGTGAAAAGGAAGAGGAAAGACAGGAAGGAAGTCTAAAACTAGAACTCTTTGAATGATGCTGTTTAGGAATTTCATCTCAAATATCAACTGACATAGTAAGTATAAGCCAGTTGACTGACAAGACAGAGAATTGTGGCAATGATCATGTGGTAAACAAGAAGTATATAATGATAAGCTTAATCATCATGCACAGAAGAAATATCTTACCTTGGAATTCTGATACAGGACTTCATGATGAAAAAACTATATGCAGTAATAGAAAACTGTCACTGATACTGTACCAACCTGCTTGTAAGTGCCATCCAGCAAGGTGTCCAGATGTTGGAGGGGGGCAGGTGTTTTATCTTTGAATCTTGTTAAGAGTCGGCGTTGAATGGCTCGGAACTGTACAGCTCTTTCAGACAACAGTTCTTCTAATTTTTGACCATTTACCCGCAGCTATAAGAAAGAATATCTTAAATTGAAGTTAAATAGATGTAAGAAAATATGTTTAAAGTAAGAATACAGATCCCATGTTATATGCAATGGCAGTAAAAGGTTTTACAAGACCAATGAAAAATTTGAAACATTTTACAAAGCTATCAGAATTAAAATAATGTGGTATTTGGGATAAAAATATATAAATAATATAGTGGGAAATATCCAATAAATATTTAGTAAAGGTGTCCCAGTTTCACTAGGGGAAAGACTAATCATTAGATAAGCGTTTTGTAATAAATGACCATATAGAGAAAAAATAAGAATTTGCCCATTATTCACGGTAAAATCAATTTGAAGATAACAAAAGTTTAGAAACAAAGCACTACAAAAATTAGAATTCTCTTCTATAATCTCAACAAGCAAGCCTTTACTATAGGAATCAAAAGACAAAAGACAAACACATTCACATATATTCACACACCCTTGATAAATTATGAACTAAACTTTTTTAATACTACATAGCTTCAAATTAATGAACAAAATAAGATAAAAAGAGAAGTACAAGGAGAATTACAAATTACATGCATTATATATAGAATGGATCTACAAAGCAAGGTTTAAAAGACTATAATGCCACAGACTCCACAGGACAAACAGTAACAATCAAGTAGAAAAGTGGGCAAGCCAGGCATAGTGGCACATGCCTGTAATCTCAGCACTTGGAAGGCAGAGGCAGGAGGATCGTTGCAAGTTCGAGACCAACCTGGGCTACAAAGTGAGCTTAAAGCCAGCCTGAACTGCACAGTGAGACCCTGTCTCAAAAAGACTAAACTGAAAAATGGCAAATTTTTGCAGGAAGTTAATACAATAACTCTTAAATGTACAGTCTATGACCTAGAAATCTGACTTCTGAGAATTTATCCTAGAGATGTGCTTGCAAAAAGTAATGCATGTAGTTTTTCTACTCTTATTATACTGGTATCACTAATAAAATGCCCACCACCAGAATTGGTTAAACAAAGAGGACTATTCTCCAAGATGGGTATTAGTAGACAAAGCTATCCAAAGATGCATTATATAAAACAAAGCAAATAGATAAGCTCTTGTGTCCAATGATACTAATCTCTGTATGTTTTAGCACAGCAGTGATTACACAGAATTTGTCTATAAAAATACATGAGATACTGAATATTAAAAGCTACCTCAGGAGAGGAAACTTACTGAATAGGGAATGAGAATCAGACAACACTTCTCACTATAGCTCATTTCATTAAAATTTAATATTAATCAAATAAAAGAGTTGGATTATATCTCCCTAGTACAGCACTTGCCCAGAACACAAGAGACCAGTTCCATCCTCAGCACAACCAATAAATTAATTATTTAATTAATGTTTCAAAAACTATTGGAATATGGGGTAGAATGAACAACAATGAGATCAGATCACCTGAACTATTAACTCAACACTATTAAACTAATAAACTAGTCCAGAAAACATGATAATAAGACTGTTCAGGTATTAAACATATTATAGTGCACAGTTCTGGCATCAAACCAAATTCTTGTCTTTTCAACTCATGTGTTCTCTAGATACATGATAAGAATTACATATGATACAAAATTTGGAATTTTAACAACTTTCACTTCCAATTTGAGATGGATTAAGAATATTCTCTAAAGGGAAAAACTATTATTTCAAAAATTAGATAATAAAATGAATTTCTTTTTTAAATTTTATGCAGTTGGTACAGGGTCTTATTATGCAGCTTGAACTCAGAGTGATCCTTCCATTTCAGCCTCTCCAGTGCTGGGATTACAGACATGTGCCACCATGCCCCATTTCCAGGTCAGTATGGCCCACCCAGGGTGGGGCCAGCACAGCATTAAACCCAGGTCCTTGCACTTCCCTAGGTAGAAACTTAGACCACTGAGCTATCTCCACAGCCCTGAAGTGAATTTTTAATGACTAAAGTTTCTAAACAATAGCCTAAATACCAATACCTCACTGTTTAACCAAATAATTTACTGCTATAGTATTTTACTTTTGGGATTTATGAAACACAAAAAAAATTAAAAAGACAGTCTCAATACTTAGACAGCACTAAGGTTTATCATTCCATTGAATGTGTAATCAGGTAGCAATGATAGAAATGTCTTTCCTGTATCTTAGTAACTTTTCTCTCATTGCTGGGACAAAATGTACAACACCCAAAATGAAGGAAGGAAAAGTTTATTTAGCTCACAGTTAGTGGAGGTGTCAGTCCATACTCAGTTTGTTCCAAGGGAGAATGGCACATGGCAGAGGGCAGCTGTTTATGACAATAGAAAACTGCAAAGAGCAAAGGGAGGAGCCACAGCTGCCTGTGGCTAGCTAGGCTCTATCCCTTCCCTACATCTGTATGCAGATTATCTGCCCTGGAAGGTGTAACACTCACACTCATAATCCCAACATTGGATCATGAATCAATCACAAACTCTAGAAGCTGCCCCAATGACTGCAAGAGGCTTTGGAGGGCCATGAGACACAAATCATAACAATGTGTTACAGTGTCAATAAGTATTTTCCAATCCCATAGCAAGTAATTTTCAGGTACTAAGGATTTGAGAAGCAAGTAAAACAAATAAAACTTCACATCTCCCTTGCATGAAGGAATACTTGGACTCCAAAAAATTTGTGCCTCAAAGTTCAAGATCATAATGGCCCAGATCTGTCATTCCACCACAGTCCCTGCTCCTCCCAGGCCCAAGGCCACCTTCTCATAACTCCCATCAAACTTGGGGCCCTGGGGTAGGGGTTGCCACCCCATTGTACAAGAGCAGTAACAGCCACTCTGTGAGAAGAAGAAAGAGGCCTGTAACACCTGCATGGACAAATTGAAATCATTGCAGAAGGATGAACTCTGGCAGGTTATGATTTTTAAATAATCTAGTGAAAAAAGATATACCAAGTTGTCTTTCTTTAAATGACTACAAGCTTGATGCTGCAACAAAACACACTTTCCAAAATCCTGAACTTTATGTACTCTCTTGGGTATAAAAGGATCATTGGACAGGAAGACATCTAAACAACTATACAACAAATAGAAACATCCTTAAACTGAAAACAGATGTGGATTGGATGGTGTACAAGAGTTCTGTAAGGGCCGGAGAGATAGCTCAGTAGAATAAGCTGGCAAGCACAAGGGCCTGAGTTCAGTCCCCGGTTCTGAAAAAAAAAGACAAAATAAAGAGTTCTATGAGGAACTAGCACTCAACCCAGACAGCAGTAGTACTGAGATCACTGCATGAATTTCAGAAAGCAACACCAAGTGAACACAGGATTTGTGGATACAGCAACAAACTAGGAAGAGCCAGCAGAGAAAAGCTAAAGAGAGGACCAGAACTGAAAGAATCAGGATGATTTATGGGTGTTTTTACCAGTTTGATTTTGCAAAGAATCCAGAACAAAAAGGATTAGATCTAGAAAAGGCCATTGCCTTACAGAACTTAGTAGTTACTAGAAGATAATTAAGTTTTGATGCAACATCATAAATAATCAATACCAAAAGATAATTAAAATCTTCTTTTAGAATTTGTGCTCACTAGAAGAAAGATAGCTTCTTTAAAAGTGGCTTTCCACATGCTAAAGGCTAAAACTAGATCTATACCTATCACCATGCACAAAGCTAGAGTCAAAATGGATCAGAGATTTAAATATTAAAACAGAAACACTAAATCTTCTGGGGGAAAATGTAGGCAGAATCTTAAAGACAGGGGTAGGTAAAAAGTTCATGAACAAAACCAAACTGCAAGGGAAATATTTCAAAGAATCAACAACTGGGATCTCATCTTTTTGAAAAGTTTCTGCACTTCAAAGCAAATCTCCCAATCAACAAACTGGGAAAAAAGTATAGCTGACTGTCGCTCTAACAAAGGCCTTCTATCTAGAAAATACAAAAAATTTTTAAAAATCAGCCCCGCTCCCAAATTCAAAGACCAAATCCTGGGACTGGGGAAATAGCTCAGGAGGATAAGCACTTGCCCAGAAAGTGCAAGAGCCGGACTTCAATCCACAGTTCCGCAAAAAAAAAAAAAAAACCAAAACCCAAAGACCAAATCCAAAAATAGGTATCTGAGATGAATATATACTTCTCAGAAGAAGAAATACAAATGGCAAGTAAATATATGAAAAATGTTCAATATCATTGGTCATTCAAGAAATTCAAATTAAAACAACAATGAGATTCCATCTCATCCCAAAAAGAATGGTTAACATCAAGAAGTCAGCCATTAACAAATTCTGGATGGGTATGGAGAAAAAGGAACCCTTCTGTAGTGTTGGTGGGGGAGCAGCCTGGTATATACACTATGAAAACCAGTGTGGAGTTTCCTTCAAATGCTAGGATTGGAGATCTCATTCAAGCCAGCTATTCTCCTCTTGGGTATTTTTCCAGGAGAACTGAAAACCTCACACCACAGTGATATATGTGCACCCAGTGCAGTTTGTCATAGCTAAATCCTGGAAACAACCCAGATGCCAATCAACTGAAGAACATATAAAGAAGATATAGTAGTTTTATACAATGGAATATTATTCAACTATAAAACAGGATAAATTTGAGTCTTTTGTCAATAAATTGATACAACTAGAGAACATACTCTTTAAGTGAAATAAATCAGACCCGCATGTGCAAACATCATATTGTCTCCTCAGTGAGAACCTGAAAAGAGAAAAAGGAATCTAAAAAGTACAATACTGGGAAAAGGGAATGAACTTATTCAAAAGGAAAGAGTTACTAAACTGAGGAATAAGACAAGAAAGGGAGAGAGGGAAAGAGATTTATCTATGTATGTAACGAGGATGGTTTGGATAGCTGTACTGTGCATTTCAGCTGGTCTATGGAAAGGATCAGATAATTTGTTTTGTCTCCTTTTTTCAACTGTCTTTTTCTCATCTTTTTTTTAAATTTTTATTTATTTATATATTTGCATTTAGGACAGGGACTGCAGGGTCTACAGGGTCTCACTAGGTAGATCAGATTCATAGTGATCCACCTCTGTTCAGGCTTGCAAGTGCTGGGATGACAGGCATGTGTCACCATGCCCAGTCTCAATCGCCTTTTTAGTGTACCACAGGGGTGGGGCTGGAATGGCAGGTCGGGGATCAAACCTAGGCCACTGTGCTCTGACTAAGCAGGAGCTTTAGTCGGCTGAGCTATTGAGCTGGCCCTTTCTCTTCTTAATTTCTTATAAATTTCGTTTTTTTTTTTTTTCTTTCTTCTTCCAGTTTTACATGCATATATCTGATAATATGAATACTGGTTGGAAAACAAAACTATGTATTACAACAAATACTGGGAAATTCATTTTACTTTTAATTAAAATTAAAAAAATTTTAATTTTTTGTTTCAATTCTGATTTGTACTCTCTAAAAAATAAAAAGAATTCAGTGCAATGATTGAACATGATTGTGCAATTATGATAAAGAAGGATTGTGAGCTTTTCTTATTGATGACTGTGGAAATGCTATCTTTATCAAAAAAACCACTTTGGCATAAGAATTAAACATAATGAACACCACATACAATTTATAAAAACTTCTTAAATATACTGTTTAGGCTAAGCATGAAAACTGTGCTGATAATACTTCCAAAGAGAGTGATATATTTAAGTGTACTGAATCTAGAAAGGTGTTGGGGAAGATGTTTTTACTTCCTGGAAAATTATATACATTATTGGTGTGTGTAGAGTATTTGATGAAAAAAAATGTCAAACAATGAACATGAAAATGTTTTAGGCTAACTTGGCCCCATCTAAAAAACATATTGTAGGGGCCGGGGAGATGACTCAGCAGAATAAGTGCTTTCCTGGCAAGTGCAAGGGCCTGAGTTCAATCCCCTGTTCTGAAAATAAATAAGTAAATAAATAAATAAATAAACAAACAAACATTAAAATAAAAAACATATTGTGTTTGAGACTCTCACAGTCAAAATTGTTCCACAAAAGTGAGCACTTACCTTACCTATCCTTAGATGTAATGACAGTACAAGGAGCTTGTATTTAGAAAGTATCTATAAAGTTAGATTCCATGTGTCTACATTTTGTACAACATAAGTGGATTTCATTATGATTTTGAAATGCCTACATTAATATCAAACAAGTTAAATGATTTAATTTATTCTGAATGTTTTGAATCACTGTACAATACAACATTAAATTAAATTTCTGAAACGTCTAGAGAAAGCAGACAGTGAAGACACAGGAAAGGAACTATAATCATATTCTCCATCTGTATGTGTAACTAGTGAAAGTGCCTGAAGTTTAACAAATTCCCCAAGCTTATCCTCAGAAAGGAAGCACCCTAAAGTGGAAAATCAAGGAGCCTACACAACAAATACAAAAGAAAAACTGTGTGCCAAATTTACTAGTTCCAGATGTGAGGGTGATCTTGCTGCGATATCTGTCACCCCATTGATCACTAGGGTTGATTCAGCTGATCTGGCTGGCTACGCAGGTGTCCCCTTCCTCCCTCAATGTTCCATGTGCATTGCTCTTGCAGCTGCGAGCTCGGTCAAAGAAGACAACCACCCCCAATAGAGGAACAGTGTTTCTCAGTCAAGAGTGTACAAGTAGCTGCGCTCCCCTGCTAGAACCTCAAACAAGCTCTCAAATTTACTAGTTCCCAGTATAAAATAGTCACTATTTTAAATATTCAAATATATAATTATTATAGTCTTTCTGTGAATTCTAATAAATTGCTGGGCCCCAGGTTGGCAAGGGAAAGCAACAATTTTTAAAACTACATCCCAGAGCAGGGATGGTGAACCTTTTAGAGCTTTCAATAATAAAGAGCAGGCTGTGGCACAGGTTCACCACCACCATCCTATAGCACTGCAAAGATCCTCAATCCTTAAAATCTCACATCTTCTCCCCCAAATTGTCAGTTTTAGGGCCATAGTTTGGCCAAATACACATTGCCTTAGAAAATGCTATTATCAGAGATGAGAAGAAACCCAAATAAGTTCAATTTATTTGATAATGGTATAACTATTAAAAATTGAATTAAAATACACCTGAAATTTTTCCTTTACACTCATATTGTATAAAAAATGTATTAAAAGGAGGAAATTCACCCTCTTAAGACTATTCAAGGGGTACTTCATATGTTTCATGACCATTTCCTATCTACACACACACAAAAAAATTGAAAGGCCTATTGACTCCTTAGAAAGTAGTCACTTGAGAAACCAATGCTTTACTTGAATGATATTTAAAATTCATTTGAAATTTTTCTTTTGTATCATCTAGTAAAATCTGTTTACAGACTCTGTAAGTAAGTAAACACTAGTAACTTTAATAAATAAATTTTAAGGGTATTATCATTAAAGGACCAAGAACATACACTAGAGAAAAGATGCAGAAGGTTGAATCTAAATCCATATCTCTCACTGTGTACTAAAGTCAAACTGGACCAATGAACTAAATGTTAAAACAATCCATTGGAAGACAAAATATGTAAAACTATTGAATACATAGGCACAGCCAAGGTCTTCCTGAACAGAAGCCCAATTGTACAAGGAATAATATCAAGAACCAATAAATATGAACACATCAAATTAAAAGACTTGTACACAGCAAAAAAAACAACCAACAGAGTGATGAAATAATCTAAAGAACAGGAAAACAATCTGCCAGCAAGTCTACAGACAAGAGGACTAAAATCTACAATATAATAAGAATTCACAAAAATTAGACTCCTCAAAACAAAAAAGACCTAATCAAAAAATGGGCAACTGAAATGAATAAACACTTAGTAGAAAAACAAATAGCCAATAAAAACATGAAAAACTATTCAACATCTCTGACCATTAGACAAATGCAATTTACACTGAGAGTTCACCTTACTTCAGAAAGAATGACTATCATCAAGAAACCAAATAATAACAAATGCCCATGAGGCTATGGGGCCAAAGGAGCCCCTCTGCTCTGTTGGTAGGAATGTAAACTAGTACAATCACAATGGAGATCAGAATGAAGATTTCTCAAAAAAAAAAAAAAACCAGAACTAGAAACTCCATGTGATCCAGCTATTCCCTGTCTAGGTATTTTCCCAAAAGAGTTTTTAAAAAATCACATTATAGTGACCCACACATACCTATGTTTACAGCAGTATAATAGCTGAATCTTGAAAGCAACTTATATACCCATCAACAGACAAATGAATAAGAAAGATGGTAGTTATATACAATGGAGTACTACTCTGCCACAAAAGATAAACTGGAGTTAGTTGTAGGAAAATGGGTATACCTTCAGACCATTAATGTTAAGGAAATCAGACATACAAGCTTAAATATTGCATGGTTGTAGCTGGGGAGATGGCTCAGCAGAATAAGTGCTTGCCTAGCAAAGGGAAGGGCCAGAGTTCAATCCCCGGTTCCACAAAAAATAAATAAATAAAAATTACATGGTTTCTCTTACATGAGAAACACAAAGTTTAAGTGAAGGACAAAATAAAAGACACAATAAGAAACAGATCTCGCAAATGAGACATAGATGAAGACATGGAAAAGAGAGGACAGAAAAAAAGGAAGGAGTCAAAATAATCAAGATGGGGCTGGGGAGATGGCTCAGTGGAATAAGCATTTCCCTGGCAAGTGCAAGGGCCTGAGTTCAATCCCCGGTTCCAGGAAAAAAAAAAATCAAGATGTGCCATGTACATGTACCAACTCACAAGAAGAAATGTGATTCTTATGTACCATAAGTATGTACTGATAAAACTAAAACTGAAATAATCATAAAATCATTGTCATTGTCTACACATTCACAAAACACAGCTCTTTCCGAATATCAAGTTAATATTCAAAGGGCAAAGACTGGCACCACTGAGGTATGGCATCTATCACAGCCTTTGCAGGCACTTCCACACAAGATGAAGAAATAGAGTAACAAAATAACACCAGCTCTCCTTTACTTAGGCTCTAGATTGTTCACTGTCTACTAAGTATGCAGGCCAGCAGGTGGTAGAGTGTATCCTACGTGCACTAGCCCTCACAGAGATGAGGAAGCTCTGGTGTGCATGAGGAAAGAAAAAGTCACACCCCATGTGCTGCTTGTTAGAATCAACTGACTGCTGACAGTTTGGGGCTGGCCAGATAGCTCTGCAGACTAAGGCACTTTTTTAAGCAGGTGCAGCAACTGGGGTTCAATCCCCATCGTGCCATGCCAGCCCTGCTGTGGTGCATGCTGAGACAGCGTGTGGTGGCACACACTGTAATCCCAGCTCTTGGGAGGCTGAACACAGGAGGATCACTATGAGTCTGATCTGTATAGTGAGACCTTGTAGACCCTGTACTAAAATTCAAGAAAAATAAAAGATCAAATAGTTTTAGAAGTGAGTTACTGGGGTCAAGGCTTAAATCCTCATGTGGGAAAACTAAATCAGCTCTGTTTCAAGGCCAGATAACATCCTTAGTTCAGGGCAGCCATTCTGTAAATATTTGCAACTGCTCATACACTGCTCAAGAGGGCAGGAACTAAGTCACCAAATCTACAACTCACATAAGAAGAGAACTCAAAGCACACAGCCTACTAGCATCTATACTACAGTTCCCACTATTATTACACTACAGATCTCCATTTTGCATATTTAAGAATTTTATATGATGTGGGTTGCTGGGGATTTAGCTCAGTGGCAGACGCACCTGCCTGGCAAGTAAAAGGTACCACGTTTGATCCCCAGTATTACAAAAACAAAAAACAAAACAAAACAACAAACTTTGAGCCAGGGAGATAGCTCAGTAGAATAAGCACTTGCCTGGCAAGTGCAGGGTCCTGAGTTCAATCCACAGTACCACAAAAAAAAAAAAGAAAGAAAGAAAGAAAGAAAGAAAGAAAGAAAGAAAGAAAGAAAGAAAGAAAGAAAGAAAGAAAAACAAAAGATGATGTGGGTTATAATCATACATACCTCAAAATGGTGATCAATCAACTCAAAGTATTCCTGCAGGGGCATGGATCCAGAAAAAGAACATGCAAAATCTTTGATTCCCTGTTTTTCAAAATATTCCTGAAGACGGAGAATAAGCTCATTTGTTATGAGCCAAAGATCTTCAAATTGTTCACTCTGAATGCGGTATCGTTCTAAGAAAAAATAATTTAGGAAAAATGCTTATTAACATTACAGTACCAGCTAAAAATGGTGTGAATTATTTGAAATGAATTCTAAAAATCAAAGCTCAAAGTTTTCTTTTTTGTAATCTAGACAGGATTTCTACTAATAATCTAAAAATACTTACAATGTTCTGTTGTTTTCTACATCAAACCCAAGACACTTGCAAATCTAACCCCAAAGGCAGTGGTCACTCTATTTTACCCTGTGTCTAATAGTACATACAATGAGAACATCCAACTTGGGTTCAGTAAAAAACATTGCATTTAACAGGCAAGAAAATAACCATTACAAAAGTATAACTTAGTGTTATTAAATTGTTTTTGCAATACTAATATGAAATAAAATTTACTCTATAGAAAGTCCCATATTTCAGGGATTATAAGCACCATAAATTCTCATAATAATTGCAGCTTTTTATTTTCCTAATCATTCTTTGATCTGAAGAGATTTCATACACACACACACACACACACACACCTCTAAATATAAATCTTGCCCTCTATTCCCTGAAACCTCTGCTCTGAGAGAATCTTATTCCCATGCATTTTCTACAGTGAGGGTGGTAACAATGATGTTGCTGCCAATGATGAGGACAATGTGGCAGTAATAACATACAAGACAAGAGCAATTACATTTGTTAGGCACTAACTAGGTGCCAAGGATTAGCCCGATCTGGAAGCCAGCAGACTCACATTCACTTATCTATCATCCCCCCAGCACTCCTCTGTGAGGTAAAATACTCAGTGCTCTCCAGGTGCCCCTTTTCTCAGGGCAACCTAAGACTCCTCCTGTCAAGGCCCCTGTTAAACTCCAATAAGAGCTGAGCTACCAGTTTGGGCTATTCTCTCACCACTAAAATGATTGCCTCCCCTCCCCTTCTTCAAATATGTCTGGATAGATTTACTGGGCCAAGAACAAGTTAAATCCTAGCCTACATTCTGGGTTCCCCCATCTCCAATGTCCCTGTTGTCCAGCCACCCCACCCCCACCCCCGTGCAACTCTCATAGAGCCAACACATAACAAGAATCCTCTAAATTCTGTTTTTGTTTTATGTTTTTAAGAAAAAAAAAAAAAAAAAGCTTTGTCAAGTCAAATGTCAAAAGTTAAGGGAGAATCCCCCAGGTTATCTTACCATTCTATCCCATTGAAAGCCAGCCTGGCTCTAGTCCAACACCTCGTCCAGTGCTTAGCAGGTAAGGAATCTAGTTTTGGAACTTGCTCAAAAAAATTCCTTCAGGCTAAAAAAAACACTACTTCTATAAACAAAAGCCACCTGGCACCACTGTCCCTCTCTCTAGAAGGCTGGCTAAAAGATACCTTTATGAAGGCTAGACTTCTGTCACTCTTAGGGGGTTAAGATTTATTCTCTCCAAATCTATCTATCTACCATCAGGACCAGGCCCCAGATACACCCTCCTAGAAATACACATTAACCCAGAGGTGATGAATGTCCTCCCACCCTAAAGAGTGGAGATCCACTCTGTTGCTGTCACAGGCGGAAAGACAGAGTAACAAGAGATACAGGGTGGCACTCTTCTCCTACCCTATGTCAGAGGAGTGGTTTACTGTAATAGCTCTCGCCTGTTATTAAGATAAGCATCAGCCTAATTCTTTTTAAACAGTCCTTGCTGTCATGGTATAAAAGGGGTTTTTAATCTCTCAGTCTAATTCTTATTGATACAGGCTTATTAAATGAGATTTCTTAACTAACTGGTTATCCATAGAAAGTTGTAATTAGAATATTTATAGTTATATAACAGTAAACTATAACAGATGATTACAGCTCAATTTCACGAATACATCAAAGAGTACACTCAGATTTAAAAGTAATTGTTGCACCGCCCAGATAGCTCAGCAGATTAAAGAGGCTGCTTAGGCAGACACAGAGACAGAGGTTCAATCCCAGAATCCCAGGGTGCTGTGCTGGCCGTGCCCCCGGGGCACACTGAGACAGTGATTGAGACAGGGCCTATAATCCCTATGCTGAGTAAGTACCTATAGCTGCTTTGTTAAATTTTTCTGAGCTGATATCAATTCTGTTTTTGATCTTTGCCTTTGTAAACTAATGGCTCTTGTGGGTCCTCCAAAACAAATAAATAAAAACAACTACTTAAAAAAAAACTATTTAAGTTTTTGGGGAGAGCCAAATTCTCTTAAAGATATTTATAGGATAATGGCTAATGGGCCTGAAGTGTACCTGAGACTTACAAATTAAAAGCCCTAAAGTTTGAATATATATATATATATATATATATATATATATATATAGTGTGTCACCTTTCAGCTATACATTACTCTCCACTAAGGTTTCAGTGGCCAGCGTGGCATGTGGCACCAGGAATGGAACTCAGGACCTTGAGCTTGCCAGGCAGGCACTTATGCTGCCAAGCTATCTCCCCAGCCCCAAGACATATTTTATACATTTCCAGATTGGAATGCAATGTCTATTATTTTTATAAATGCAATGTCTATTGTGGTCATGTACAATATGAGTTTTTCTTAGGTCAAAGATAATACATATAACTTTAAAAGGCTGTTGTTATCATTTATTTCTTATAAATCAACTAAAATATTTAAGATAAATAAGTAGGGACACCTTAAGCTTGGAAAAACTACTGAACATGGCTCCCCTCTGGATAAAGGGCAGCTGCCTGAATCAATTTATACAGTTTTTATTCACTAATAGAACTTCTCCAGTTTTTTACTCATATGGTAACAATTCCCAACAAATGTTATTAACTATATTATTATAATATATGAATTAAAGGATTAAGCTTTCTATGTCTAAAATAATAGATTTTATTAATCAATTGAGATGTCCATGGTTAAATTTTTAAAAACTAGATTAAAAAACATAGGCCCTCTATTGTACTGATATAATTCCTTTGCTTTTCTACTGTTAAGGATTTGGTTACTAAATTCTGAAAGCAAAATTAAATGTTGACTTATAAAATATTTTTAATAATCACTTTATGATTGGTTAAACAGCTATTATCTTATTGTATAACACATTCTATGGATCTAAATCAAATACACTCTAAGTGTAAGACCTAAAATTAAACTTATAAAGATAACATTGCATAATTTTAATACAAAGTAAGTAATGAGTATTCTCTTTTACAAAATAAAAACATAGCCATTAGACCAAAAAATGCTCCAGATTTGGCATTTGTACTTTGGTTCTACCATTTAAAACTTAATCTATGTCTATCAGCATTAATTAAACAAATACTTTGTTATTATATAAATGAGACATACTTGAATATTAGGTAATGTCTATTTGTGCTCCATAGTACTATTTCCTAAACATGTAAAATTTCTAAAGATGTTCCACAATTCTTGTCAGCACAGCTCCAACCAGTAAACCTGTTTTTTAAAAAATCTAGAGACCCAGAGCACAGGCCTGGTGAGTGAGTGACACTACCCGGGGCCCGCCGGATCCTGAATAGACCCAGAGCAGACCCAGAGCA